GTGACAGGACAAGGGGGAATGGGTTCAAACTGAAGAAGGGTGGATTTAGATTAGACGTTAGAAAGAAATTCTTTACTGTTAGAGTGGTGAGGCACTGGCACAGGCTGCCCAGAGAGGTTGTGGAGGCCCCATCCCTGGAAGTGTTTAAGACCAGGTTGGATGAGGCTTTGGGCAACGTGGTCTAGTGGAGGGTGTCCCTGCCCATGGCAGGGGGGTTGGAACTAGATGATCTTGAAAGTCCCTTCCAACCCAAACCATTCTATGATTAAACGCGATTTTCTAACATTAAGCGTAAGCTGAAAATCACTTAAATATAACATCTTTCCCTCTCTCTGGTACAAGCACAGAAAAGATGAAGATCTCTTTTCTTTTGCAATTACCTGTAGGAACTGTGCTGACACACTGGAGCAGGGGTGCCAAAGGTAGTTTAAAGAAAACCATGTCCTTGCTCTTTGCAAATTAAATCCCAATACCTGCAGGTCTGCAGCCTAAAAGGTCCTTTTCTCTATCCTGCAGGTCTTCCCCTAAAATAAAACTATCGTTTAGAAGTGGTCACTGTCATATGGACAGTCTTCAACGGACAAACCTCAAGTCAAGGCTCAACTATTTCACGTTATGTGGAAAACCGAAGCAAGAAACCTCATCAATCTAGTGAAAGGTGAGCAAATTAGAGGTGGAAAAAAGAATAATCTCTGTTAGGAAATGAACCTACCTGGATAGTGAGACCTGGTGCCATGACATTGAGATCTTTCTGCAGGGCCAACTTCAGATTCTCATCTATCTGATCTGCGTTTGGAGGACAAGAGAGAGATCACTTAGCTTATCGTCATTTCTCCTACAGATTGTGTGGCAGAAAGTCAGCTGGCCTTGAAGAGCAGGTACGCCTATGGTGTGAGATAAAGATGCTTTTGGAGATCATTCAGCACGTTGTTTCCCTTCCTATACCCCCTGGAAAACGTTCCCAAGAGGTGAGCCACACACTAGTTCTCTAGAAAGGTTCAGCTATCAATGAACTCTTGGTATCTGAGCTGAGGGCAAATGGCTTTCAGCGTCGCAGCAAGAAAAAGCACTCAGAGCCTACGGTAGAAGTCTATCCCTTCCTAGCTGGAGGCAGACCAACCCCACTGCCAGCAGCAAGCTCTTCTTTAAGTCTCCACGGATCTGCAGGATCCAGCATTTGCTACTGAAAAAATGCGTTTTGTCACTTCCAAGCTCCACTTCCACAGAAATAGCCAGTTATGAAAGGATTAAGCTGCAGGTACTACCAGGAAACTCCCTTCTGACTACAAATATCTTCCATAAACCCATTTTCCCCTGCTCTGCCACTCAAAGAAGGAACGTGATGTTGTTATATCAGAACACTAAATTTGCTAATTCCTGAACCACTGCTACCCCCTTGTGACAAAACTAGAGCATTACAATGAACTGAGAGCATGTCCCTTCTGGCTCTCACTTGCTAAAAACGGCCAGAAAGAAGCTTTTAAAGTAAAAAAAGTAAATTCAGGAACAGAACAGGGGCTCAAAAGTAGAAGCACACAACAGAAAACCATCATAACAGACAATGGGCACGACTGCACTCACAAGAGCAGAGTGGCTTCTTTGCACGTCCAGAATTTAGTCCCAAGTGGAAAAGGAGTGAAATCAAACTCTCACGTGCAGATGCGGAAAGACAAAGGAATCTGGATCATTAAAGAGTAAAGTTACACAGGAAGTGACACATGGATATACAAGGAGCTGGATTCTAGACTGCAACTCCAGCACTGAGGCTGTTTGCTCGCAGGAGCCTGCTGTAACATATTCCACAGCAAGAAAAGGGAGATGACACAGCCCTTGGCGGGTGCATCCAGCTGCCATCCACTTACCAAACAGCTCGATGTATACTTCCTGCAGGGTATGGGCACTGCAGAACTGATTCAGCTCATGATGAATTTTATTGAAGATCAAGGTCTTATCGTAGTCTGCAGTGTAGTTTCTCACAATATTGTACACTGAGGAAGTAAGAGAATTTTTCACAGGTCACCACTGACAGGTATTGCTTTCTGCAATGCCACAACCACAAAACAGCAGCTCAGGGTATTAGGAAAATAGCGCAGCACTGGGCCAGGCGAGCACGGGATCGTCATCTTTGGGAGTTTTCAGGACCTGGCTGGACAAAGCCACAGCTGCCCTGCCCAGCTGTTAGTGGGAACCCCACTGTCAGCAGGAGGGAGGTCAGAGGAGAAACTGCTGCAGAGGTGCCCTCCACCACTGCTGCTGGGGTTATATGACTTCAAAGAGCCAAGTAATTACAGCAAGATACACCACATGGTCCTGTTTTATGATCTGCATAAACAAATAAAAGAGTAAAGCCTGTCCAGGATCTGCATGCAGAGGAACAGACACTACTATAAAGTGAAAACAAGTATCATTCCCACAATTATAACATGAATTCACCCTTCAACGCCTCAGTAACGCTACTGTTTTGCATTAAGCTACGCTGCCAGAAAAAAAAGCCATGTGGGTCTTTGGTTTGGCGATGGGTGAAATAAGAAGGTAAGAGGGTCCTACACAGGCTTTGCCTTTGGAATTTTCCCCAGGAGCTGAGCTGAAAAGCACTTGGGGCTTTGTCCTGTGTATTTAGTTTCACAGGTGGTGTCCCCTTCTGCTGCCAGAAATAGAACTACTTGAGCACCCGTCACATTTCTAAATGTACGGGGGAGAAGCAATCCTATAATTTATTTTCATCTTTGCAAATCTGTGGCTCTTTGGAAAGCTTGCAGACACATGCAGGAAACGAAGTGCTACGGTAGTACTGAGAACCATAAGAATAACAAGACAGAGAACATGGAAGTCTTGCAAACCAAGACAGAGCAGCTACAGGACGAGCGCAGACAGTCACAGCGCTGCTTGTTGAAACAGGACGGGAAATACCTGCATACGGTGCCAATTTATTCACAACTTCTATTCGGTCAATGTAGATCATAACACCGCCACTGCAAGTGAAAAAGAGAATTCATGAATTATTACTGCAACTGTTAACAGTGGTCCATATTTAAAGCAAATTCGTCTTTTCCCCTTTTTTACTAAATTCTACTCAACTTACGCAGAACAGTTCTGACTTCTTGAGTGTTTTCCAATTAGATGGTGGCAAACCCCAGCTTTGTACAAACCAGTACCTCTCTGCATAAATCAAAAGTGTGCTCCAGCAAGTCTGCAAAACACTTTTGCTTCACTTTGTTATCTCCTACTTAGCCAGCAAAAGGAAAACTTATTTGAACAGGACCGTAGCTGCAACAGTCAGAAAGGGGGAGTCCAGCACAACGAAGGGAACGCAACAAGGACAGCAGATGACACCTGCAAGCAGCAAAGCAGACACAAACTGCAGATGCACCACAGCTCTTCTAGGCAGCAAATGCACTTTAAATAGAAAAGCTTTTAGTTTAAGTTCACACATTTACTGACTCCGGCAGGAAGCTGACAAGGGCCCTGTTAGAAAGGAAGAAACAAAGCACTTAACAGACTGTAATCCACGCTCCCTGTATCGATGTCATGTCGTGAACAGCTCTTCAGTAACACTGCAAGTGCACGTGCACTGTCAAGAAGCTCCAGGCACCTCGATGGAAGAAGCCTGCAGGCAGTCCTCTCCCCGAGGGATCATGTGCTGCCGGACTGGCAGAGGAAAGAGGGAATAGGAAGTAGGTCTTAATCCCAGCCTCCGCTCTTACCTACGTCACTTTCAGCAGGCCATGCCCACCCCTGGGTACCTGTGGCACCAGGGAAAAGCACAAACTCTACAGTGCAGAAAAACCTCTTCACTTTCAACAGCTGGTAAGTCTCTGGAGAGGGTATTTAAAGCACTCTTGCGATTTTGTCCTCAGGGCAAAGGTAAATGACAAATGAGAAGCTTTAGCAGAAACTGTTTAGAGACAGCTGATCCCCAGAAGCAGACCTCCCACATTTCCAAACTCAGTCTCTGTGGTGTTTTAACTCAAATGCATCCCCCCATGACAAACTCTTATTTTGCCGATCTTAATCTCTGGCAGTTGAAAGCTAAGTCTGCAGAAAAATCACCTGAACTTGCCCATGTCTGTGCTCTTTTAGGAAAGGTCTCCCAGGCACAGCCCACGTTCGCTCTGCAAACCTGCCTGCTTCCTGACAAGCTATGAGCTAAAAACACTGGTGATGGACTGAACTTGCCTGATGGAAGGGACAAGACAGCAGAAGAGATATTTGTGGCTAGAGAGAGACTTATTTCCCAGTGAGATACTACTATTAAGAGTATTCATCTCTTTTTCACTCAAGATTTCTCTTGAGGTCATTCTTACCGGCTCTCTCTTAAGAACCGTTACTATTATTTTTAAATAAGATAGACTTATGGACCCTTTATAGATTTGTATAGATTTGTCAGGCTGCACAAGCAGTTATAATGGCACGGCATGTGTTTTTCCTCTATCATCTCATCTGTTCTGCACTCTAACTGTCCCACCACATCCCACAAAATGACTATTTATCATTGCGAGTGATGTCCAATAGCATTCCTGATCATCTTCTGAACCTGCTTTTCATCGTCCTGATTTGTTCTGGTCACCTTATGACATCTCCACCAGGACAGGGAAACACAGCTACCATCTTGGGGCATCTTCTAGATATCCTGGTGAGGAACTAAAGCAGAGTGTGCGGGCTTCTTCCACAAGAATCTCCTCCACTGCACATCCTCACATTGGCGTCCTTTTGGTATTTCAATTATATGGGGATGTTAGAAGGAAAGAGAGCACCTGAGACAATCTGCCTCCTACGCAGGACTCGTCCACAGCCCCTCATCACCCCGCATGTGAGAAAAGCTGGCACCTCAGACCAGAGAGGACTGCCTGCTGCCCGTCTGACCCAACCAACGCTACCCACAGCAACCCTGCCAAGGATCTCAACCAGCATGGGTCAACAGGGTGGGCCACGAGTGAATTACATCAGTCCTGTTGGTCAGGCAATGGCTTTGAGGAAACAGGTGCCACTCAGAGCCCAAACACATCAGGCGCTTATTTCCTCACTGAGGGCTTAAAGTGAAATGAAGCCTGCAAAGCACTTACACTGCGTTTTCCATCCATCCATCCATCCATCCACCCACCCACCCACCCACCCGGCTGCTGGAGCCATCATCCTTTTACATTGTGCAGTGGGGAAAGTCCTCCGGACTGTGCTACTGTAAACCCAGGAGCCAAACTGAACTGTAATGCCCTCGTCTTAGAGCAAGCATCTCAGACAAGACCTCCTCTCAACCAGCCTGGTTCAGAAGATGTCAGTCAACTCCCGAGGTGGAGGAGACACTGTCCTGGGCAGTTTAGAGACAGCCATGCTCTAGGTGATTCACACACCTTGTTGATCTGGAACTGTATAAATCCTCTCATCATCCACAGCTGTTTTATTTGGGGTGTTTTTTTTTTTTTTTTTTTACAGCTTAAACACTGGCTCGGACAGTGCTCTTTTCATTTTGACCAGCCTCTTCCATTCTCAAAACATCCTCATCTGCTGAAACCTGCTTCTTGCCAAATGCGAGGCAGGGTGACTCCCACGGGGAGATTTCCAGCACGTGCAACTCTCCACCGCAGTTTCCCACAGCCTAAGACCAGCATTTGCAGCCTCTGTAAGGGCTACTCACACCCCTCAAGGTCCTCACCGCAGAGCTGCTGCATCAGGCAGAGCAGCGCTGACTTGAACAGGCTCTTTGGTCGGGGAGAGGAACAAGAAGAAATCCATAGCAAGTCTGAAAGGACGATCCAACACATAGACTATGTGCACCTGGGAGAAGTTTAAGCGTAATTAGGCAGCAATACTGCCTAATTTTACAGGACAAGGTGAAAGCGTACAGGAGACTAACACACTCGCACAGGCATTTCAGTAGACCTTAGAAAGCCTCATACGTTTTGGGATTTCAGTGTCTGCCAGGCCAGAAGACAATGGAAAAACTGAAGCATGTTGCCATAAAAAAAGGGGCCATAAAATAGTCCAAGGTTTAATGCTTACTCCTAGGGCTGACCACAAACAAGACCAGACCAGATTAGGCAATCAGAGCACATAAAAATTGGGCTTAAAGGTCAGATCTGGTCTGTGTAGTGATAGAGGGATTAATGCAATACATCCACTTGCAATATTCATGACACGTTTTTCCACGTGACTGGCTAACAAACAGGGATGTGTCCCAGAAAGAGCATTCCTCCAGTGCTCCATTTGTGCTCCTGCCAACTATGCATAGCACGAGTGCAAGACGACTCTCGCACCTTCGCAAACAAAAACCTGATGCTTGAGCAATATTACTGCTTAGCGTCCTGGCTATTTACTTTTTCTTGGCATTGTAAAATCCTGTAGAGTATTTAGCATGACTCTTCAGTTAAGTTTACAAGAAAAATGCTACTTACCTAATTCTCTCACGCAATATTTACATGACACAATTTTCAACCCATTTATTGTATTCAATAATATACTCACGAGTACGTTCAGTCTCAATCAATCCTTCGAGTCAGGCCTCTGGAATACTTTGCTCTTCTAAAACTAGTTTACTGAACTGATTTTCCATCAGATTTTGGAGATCAGCAGACTTGCTGTGAGGAAACTCCTGAACTTTCCAAGGAACTGTGCACACATTTTCTTGTTGGGGAAAGCCAGAAATCTCAGACACCAGAGGCAATTCACAGCTTAGAGTAGATAAATATTCTACCTGCTGCAATGAAATGGTTTTCATCTCTGAGATGACAGCTGTTTTACAAAAAACAGTAATCGGGTGCCAAAGTATTTTAAAATCTGTAATTAATGTATTCACTTAATGCTGTCAAGCATGAATGGGACAGGTAAGGCAGAAATTGGGGATGGAACACCCACACTGCCATTCAGAAGCTTCCTAATGTAGATGAGAATACAGGGAACACAAATATGAATATGGTGGAAGAGAAACCCAGCCTTTAAAATCTCATGATATAATACATTACAGAAATTTAAACGGTTTAGGATCTATTCTTGTAATGAACTCTGAACTGGGTCAGTGACCTTTCAGACCGGATCCATTTGTTATTTATAAACTAACTTTTTATTATAGAAATGTGGATTCAAAGCTTTAGCATGGAGCAGCTGCGGACTTTAGATTCCAAATACAGTAAATTTAAAGACTCCTGCAACAGCGCTTTAAAAATGGACAGGGCTACTGGGACCTTTGGTCTGAATTGTATAATTGATTATTAACTAAGAAGTGCTTCACCAGCTATTTGATGTTTTAAAGCGTGTTTATTACTCGTAACTTCACAACCACCTTATTGCACAACTGAATCCCACAATGCTGAAACCTAACAGGAACTTAATGAACTAACTCTACAGAATTAAACAGAATATTTAGCTCCTAAATCACAGATGCGCAGAATGGTTGAGGCTAGCAGGGACCTCTGGAGGACATCTTCTCCAACCTCCCTCCTCAAGCAGGGTCAAAGCAGCAGAGTTTAATTTTGACTGCGTTAGCACGTCTAACGTGGTCAAGCTTTGCTCAGCCTGCTGAGAAGGCCTGCATGACAGCAGGACACCATCCCTGGTCCAGAGACATGATGCTGTTTTACAACGGTCAGCAGGTGAAATATTACTCCTATTTATACTATTTATAAGCTAAAAGTTGCCATTAAACACATGGTTAAAACTCTGCTGACTTATTTTTAACTGTGCAACTTAAAAGATACAGATATAGAGCATAATGAGTCTTACTCCTCCCTCCTGCAATTACTTTTCGTTTGACCTGAAGACTCTTCACCTGATCACAAAGCCCTGGCTGCAGCACTGAACACCAGCATTATTCACAGACACTCAGGAAAGAGGTTTGAGATCTAAAACTAAAACCAGCTAGGGCTCACGAGAACTTTATGTTAATATTTAAGCCCAAGTGATGTCTGATGAGTTGCTATAGGAATAATTCCAAGAACTCATTTCAATAAGGGCTAAACCAGATCAAAACTAACTCTGCCTCATTAATGTTGCCACTAACATACAACTTGTAATTTCAACATGGTTGTTATGTGTCATCATTCAAGTCATACTGACTTTTTTTTTTTTAAACAGAAATATTGTTGAGTACCCTGAAGCTAAAAGACAAGATTCACCAGTTTTGTTTTTATTCTGAAGAAACGTACTCAGTCATCACTTTTTCTTGCGAACGAACTAACCCAACAGGACCCGCAACCCAGCTCAACCAGCTCTCTCCAGTTACTGCTCTGCTCGTTAAAACTATACAGACCTGTGCTCACAATTATGAGGCAGGCAGGTGCCACCCACGCACAGGCTTCTTTATTCTTTCTCACTCTCTCTTTACACCAGGTGAAATGTCAATTCCAAAAATGCCTAAATTCCAGGAGACTCATTTCCTTGAGCTGGTTTTGAAACGAACCATCTCCCATCAGGAGGATTCCCATTCACCATTTACTTTTGCCCACCGCCGGTGTCAGCACTTGTATTAGCCACAAGGTTCAGACTAGAAATACCGCAAAGCTGAGGGCAGACCAATGCACAGGCAACGGGCTATCAAGAATAATCAAGGGAAGAAACCAAGAAAAATCAAGAGAATATCACTATAAATGCAAATACCCTCCGAACATCAACTCTAGAGAAAGCAAGAGCACACCCTCCCATAGCTCCTGCTCTATTATTTCCAAGTGTGACGTATGCGTGTATGTTTGGGATTAATTTTAGGGCACACGTCTTTACTTTTCAGCCTCTGTGTCACAGCACTGTAAACAACTTAGCTGCAAACTACACGAAAGAGCGCATCTGTACATCACTAGAAGAAATACAAAGGAAAAACATACCTTGTCCCACAAGGCACATTTTTCACTTCGTCAGTCTGCAACGTGGTCTGAAATAAAAAGACACCAGTGCTCACAAAACCTTTCCGTTCTCCAGGAAGATCATGTTGTGCCCAGACTCACAACCATCATGCTGGAACATGGAACCAAACACGTGCCCTCTGCCTCCCTCCCTCCCTCCCAACATTTGCAGGTGTAGGCAGAAGACAGACTTCTTTTTTCAACTGCCTTTTGGGAGACAGAAGGGCAGCTGTAACCATTTCCCTGCTTTCAGCTCCTGCAGCATGAAGGCCTGCAGCTCTCCTGGAAAACACTTAGGGCCACAAACGCAGACCGTCCTCCCAGAGCAAGACATCTCCTGTCCCAAGCGACATAGGTACGCATCGTGGAGATTCCACCGAAAGGACAACTCCCAGCACACGGCCGCCTCTGGCTTCCAAGGAGCTGCTGCTCTGACTACCGTGTTACCGAGCCCCTCTGTAAACACCCAGGTCGCCCCCACCCAGCAACACCCCTACCGACCTCTGCTCCCACTTACCCTCTTCCAAAGTAAGGAGACACTAACCTGCACAGATTTGAACGTGGTGATGAACGGGAGCATGATGTGGTAGCCCGGTCCGCTCGGACTGGTTAACAATGCACCACCCCTACAGAGAGAGACAAAAATGGGGAAAGGGCTCAAGCAACTGGAAAATAATAAGCACTGGCTTTGATAGGGAGTAAATATATGCAAACTGCCAGGGGTCACAGCTGTGGTAGTGCAAATTACGTCACTCACCCACACCAAATTTGCCACCAATTCCCCTACAAAAGGGCTGATACGTGATACTTGTCTGCTGCAACTTGACAATCATTTGCTTCAGTCCTGCGAGCAATTAACTTTTAGAGAAGACAGATATTGCTAAACTCTTCCACCACTGCAACATTGCAGAGAGCTTCAAGAACGCAGATTTTCCTCTCTAAATAGTTCACTGGTAACCATGGAAAAATCCAGTGGTTGACGTGATACCGCCAGTTTGGATTTCCACACGGCATTCAGAGGTCCCTCACACAAAGCACAAAGAAAACCCGCAGTCTCTCGTGGGGACTGACAGGTGGTTACAAGACAGGAGACAGAGGAGGGCTCTAAGCGATCGATCCTCGTAGCGCAGTGAGGTCTCCTGCAGCGGCCCACAACAGCCCACGCCGTTCAAAACACTTGGAATTAAAGAGCAGCGCAAAGGAAACCGGCCCGTTGTGGTGAGTGTGAAGGGTAGAAAGGACAGGAAAGAAACACAGCAGAAACCGTGTGAAAACTCAGAAAGGTTGGTGCTGAATTTCTCTGTTCCTTTGTCCAACATTGAAGCAAAAGCTCATCAAGAAGCAGCATTTAGTGACCGTTATGAGCCGACAGTGAGTTGCTCTACAGATGCTATTCAGGGCAGCCACGAGCCCCAGCTGAAACTCAGCCCAGAGCCAGGGAGAAGATCCGCTTCAGAGCAACAACAGAGCGGGTACTCCTCCACGTCAGGAGGAGAGCGACGGACTTCAAAAGAACGAACGGACCAAAAGCTTTGGTCCTCTAAGCTTTGAAACCCAAACTGTGACTCAGAAAAGGGGAGGATTCAGAAAGACCAAAACTCAGTTCGGTTCTACACAGAACCAGGCTACCCCGGCCCACATGGTTTCTGGTGCGAGAGAGCAGAAACAACATGGCCTGCCCACCTCGGGGCAAAACCGGGAGGGAAACACAGGAGAGAGAGTAAACGCCTCTGGGGGCAACCGGGGGCCAGAGATGCATCCCAGCTGAGAGAGGGAAACTCGGGGAAGGCCACAGAGGCCATCGAGGTGTCGGCGGGGCACAGTACCTGTAATACACAGCCAGGTGCCCCTCCTCAACCTTGTGGATAGAGGAGTACAGGAGGAAGGCGAGGAGTCCCGCGGCAGCTGCAACTACGGCTCCGGCCTGGGCCATGGTCATCCTTGCGTCACCTGTGGGGCAGCACACACGGAGCGTCACCCGTGGGGCAGCACACACACAGAGTCACCCGTGGGGCAGGA